CCCCCCCCCCCCCCCCGCATTGCCCTTATCTGCCCTGTTCAACTTCAATCTGTATTGGTGGAAAAAAAATAGGTTTTCGTTGGCCTGGAGACCTGAAGGTGATTTTCTTCCAAAAGGCCACCGGGCTTCCTTGGAGTTTTCTTTGCAAACTTTTCACTTCTCCTCTGAGAAACTTTTCCGGTTTCTTTTGAAAGGAAACACCGGGGAAGCCCGGTGGCCTTTTGGAGGAAAAGCCCCTTCAGGACAAGCGTGACCTGGATGGCGGGCAATCTCCGCTCTTTGGAGAGCGGCTTCGGAGCCTTCGGGCCTTGCCCATTTGCCCATGCAAGAGCTGAGGGCTGTGCTTGGCATTAAGATGGCCCTTAATGTCAGCCTGGTTTGCATCGCTCTGCAGATAATCCTCAAGTTAGTTCATTTAGTGACAAATCACCATGGCACTGAAAAGAGTGACTTATGACCGTTTTTCACACTTACGGCTGCTGCAGCACCAATGGTCACACGACCATTCAGAAGCTTGGCAACTGACTCGCAATTATGATGGTTGCAGTGTCCTGGGGTCACGCGATCCCCTTTGGCGGCCTTCCGACACGCAAAGCCAGTGTGGAAGCCAGATTCACCGAACCACCATGTCACCAACGTTAACAACTTCAGGGTTTCACTTAACCACAGTGGCAGGAAAGTCCGTAAAGTGGGGCAAAGCCGCAAAACTCACTTAAACACGAGTCTCACTTAACATCAGCAATTTGGGGCTGGATGGGGGCCGTAACTCCGAGGACTGCCTGGAGGCTGCTCGCCAAACGCTCAAGGAGGGAAACGGCCAGGGATTTCCCAGGATCCGCTCCCAAGAGGGGCTGCAGAGCCCTGAGCCCCTCCCCCTTCTGGTGCTCTCGGGTGGGGCGCTAATCCCGTGGCTGAGTGACCCAGCCAGATGTTGCTGCTGCTGCTGCCTTTCTGCTGATCGGATTCCCGGTGGATTACAGAGCCTGCGTCACCTTAAGTAACGTGTTGGGGGTTGGGGGGAAGGGGGGCGGGGAAATTGGCATGGATGGATGAAAAGGAGGAGAGCTTTGGCTTTGACCAGGGACAAGAAAGAAGAGCAAAAGCCGCCCGGGATGAATCTCAGAGGGTCAGTTTGGAGGCTGATGGTTTAGCAAGGCCATCCCTGCTCTGGTGCTGTTAAAAACATGCATCCCACGGACTCCTGGAGTGGAAAAGCTCTTTCCTGCCACCTAGTGCCCACCTGGTGCACTGCACAGCCTCTGAAACATTAAATATAGGAGGAACTTGTTTCATTCTGCAAAACCAAAATTCCCACTGGCAGCGTACATCAATGAAGAACAAGCGATGCTCACAGTGTGACATGACTGTGGAGTTACCCAAGGTTTGTTCTG